TTACAGTATTTTATTTCGGCTAGAATAAAAGCAGATTTATTTTTTTAAAGGTCAATATTATTAGCTTCCTTAAGCAATATTTTTTTGTGATTGTCTACAGAACAGACCATTGTTATACACTAATTATAAACTCGTCTAAATTACTAAATTAACCAAGTTAAGCCTTTAAATGGCACTTGAAGCTGAATACTTGAAAAATATCTAGTAAAGTTTTATGTACTGCCATCATGACAAACATTATTAGAAATTAGTTATTAAAGCTATTATGTTTAGAAATGGGTCTTCTTTCATGAAACTGGGAAAAATTTACAAGGAGGGTAATAATTCAGGAGGGCTAATAAGTATGACTTCAACTGTATATGTTACAGGTTAGATCTTAGAAGGGTGAGTATACCATACAATCAACAAATATCTATTGATAACATTCTCCCTGTGTAGTCTTTAACTCAGGCCTATCACAAAAAAAAAAACAAAATACACACACACAAAAAAACTGAATAAATAAATTTTAAAAAAATTTGCTACAGAAGGGTCTGGATCTCCAGTAGGAATGCTGTAAGGTTGCTGAACACTAAGTCACAAAATCATGTTTGTAAGTCTTTTGTTTGTAGCTGTGGGTAAGTCTCATGATTGGTGTTTTGCACGAGTAAGTTTTTTACTTCCTTTAAGTGTTCTTAGGGCAGCATTTATAAAAATGCTAGCCTGGTACAAATGTGACAGTTTAGAGCTTGTTTGCATAAGTTTCAGTTGTCATTTTGAGTCATAGAGATAGTCATTCATACATTTTCCTTCGGCTTAGTCCCTTAATTATTACGGGTCGCCACAGCGGAATGAACCGCCAACTATTCCAGCATATCGTTTTACACGACGGAAGCCCTTCCAGTCACAACCCAGTACTGGGAAACACCCATACACTCTCATTCACACACACACACATTGATAATGTACACTACGGCCAATTTAGTTTATCCAATTCACCTATACTGCATGTTTTTGGACTGTGTGGGAAACCCACACAGTTCATGCCAACGCCAATATTAAAGGATTGAAGTGTACAGAAGCTAATCTGGGATTAGTTTATTGTACGAAGCGCGTCGTTCAGTCATCGCTTATACATGCATTCACTGGTTCATAGGTTGCATATGAAAGGCGACGATTGACGCACAGCTTTAATGTAAAGAAAGTAAATGCAAACATTTTATTATTAATTTCAGCATGCTTTCAAGATTAAAAATATATCAGAAATATGGGAAAATACTTAATGATAGGATGATAGTGGGACAGAATGGTAAAATACGGGAGAATTTCGGGAAAAACCAGGGGGGTTTACATGAATGAAGGAAGTGTTTGTGGAGAAACAGTTTTGCAAGATAACAAAAAACATCTTTGCGAGGGAATGCAAAAAAACTTAAAAATATGTTTTTCTATCTCTCAGTTTTTTTTTCCCTCCCAGTTTTTTTTTTCTTCCAACAAATTTTTTCCCCACCATAATGTCCCTTCTGGGTCTCCGTATTGCAGTGAATGGAAGAATACAACACAATTTTTTTACAATGCTATTTGCTTAAATAATAAAAGAAAAACTTCATGATGATGTTATCAAGACTTTCAGAAAGAGGTAAAAATGTGAGACTGATGATGGCAACCAGAAGAGAAAATAACATCAAATTTGCTGTCCTGTCCCATAGACGTTGCGGTAACACTTTACAATAAGGTTTATTAGTTAATGCATTTACTAACATGAACTAATCATGAACAACACTTGTACAGCATGTATTAGTCATGATTGAACATTTACTAATGAATTATTATTATTATTATTTTTTTTTTATAAGGGTTTTTCACCTTTATTTTGATAGGACAGTAGAGAATTCAGACAGGAAAGCATTGGGAGCAGAGAGAGGGGAAGGATCAGCAAAGGACCTCAAGCTGGGAATCAAACTCGGATCGCCGTGAGCATGTTAGTGCTATATGTCAGCGCGCAGTACCACTAGGCTACTGGCGCCAACAACTAATGCATTATTAACATTCATGCCCATGCTTGTTAACATTAGTTAATGCACCATGAGTTAACATGAACTAACAATGAACAACTGTATTTTCATTAACTAACGTTTATTGATATGAATAAATACTGTAGTAAATGTTTTGTTCGTGGTTTGTTCATGTTAGTAAATGCATTACTTAACATTAACTAATGAAACTTATTGTAAAGTGTGACTGACGTTGCATTAGAAACCCCTCACACAAGCAGCAATTTGTTCTTTGTAATTTGAACCAAAGATGATATAATGCATACATAAATACATATAGATGTTCATTGCTTTTTTTTAAATAAAAATATTAAAAACTCATACTCAAGCATCATAACTGGCTTGTGAAAAGGGTCCATATACTACTTTCTTTTGATAATTTAAGTTCAAATTTAATGCGACAGTCACCAAAATGTCACAAATCTAGAACAAAGCTTACAAAGGGCCAGTTTCAAAGAGTTATACAAATTATTTGAAGGGTACTTTAAGATGAAACTTCACATACCGACTCTAGAGACATCAAAGGCTTTTTTGATATCTTGTAAAAATGTGCATACTAGGTCCCCTTTAAATAACAGATTCCGCTAAGCCACATAATCTCATCTGTCTGGTTTTGTCGGCAGTGCAAGAATGATAGGTTTTGCCTGTAAAAATGTTTTATGTGCAAGTTATATCATAACTGTGTAATTTACAGCAGTTTGTTGTCTGCTTGTTTAATTGCAAGTTAGTGATTTGAATATATAAACATATAAATATATTAATTTTTCTTCAGCCTCCTTTCTATTTCAGAAGTCGCCACAATGGAAGGAACAGCCAATTATTCGGCGTATGTTTTATGCAGCTGATGCCCTTACAGCCACAACCCAGTCCTGGGAAACACCCAAACACACTTATACACTATGGCCAATTTATTCATTCTTTTATTTTCCTTCAGCTTAGTCCCTTTAATTATCAGGGGTCGCCACAGCGGAATGAAACGCCAACTTATCCAGCATGTGTTTTATGCAGCCGATACCGATCCAGCCGCAACCCAGTCCTGAGAAAAACCCATACACACTCATACACAATAGACAATTTATTCATGTATCCTTTTTCCTTCCCTTTAATTATAAGGGGTTGTCACAGCGGATACCCTTCCAGCTGCAACCCAAGTACTGGAAAACCTCCATACACAATCATTCACACACATACACTACGGCCAATTGAGTTTATTATGGTATAAACTGTATTATTGAAATTGTATTTCGTGTTTGTAAAGTACACCCATCGTAAATGTATAAGTCGTATCCAAACAAACAAAGAAAATGTTGTATATGTGTCTGTTCTAACCGCAGATTTTGGAATTGTACCCTCGTAAATTACGAGTACGTTCCGTTTTCCTTTACGTTTTTATAATTACAGATGCATGCATTTTATTTAAGCACAAAATATTTATGCCAGCGATTTTATTCCACAGCGTATTCAATTCACCAATAGCGCATGTCTTTGGAATGTGGGGGAAACCAAAGTACCCAGAGGAAACACAGGGAGAAAATACAAACTCCACATAGTAATACCAACTGGTCCAGTCGGGACTCGAACCAGCGACCTTCTAGCTGTGAGGCGAAAGTGGTAACCGCTGAGCCACTGTCTAATTTTTTTTCAAGTATTATTATTGTTATTTTTAAAGGGTCACGAAACACCAAAACACATTTTTTTTGAGCTGTTGACAGTCGTATATGTGTCCCACACTGCTAAAAACACTATTAGGACACCTATATTTCACTAAAAAGTGTAAATTGGTTGTTTTTGCGTTTTTTCAAGCAAAATCATACTTCCGGTTTGAAACTAATTTTTGAAGCTGCGTCACGGCCATGACATAATAGCGTGTATTCCAGCGTGCAGACTGGACGTCTGTGCCAGAGTGTGTCTTATTACGTCTTACAGTGTGCTGCATTAATGCATGAGTAAGGCTTGGTTCAAACCAATCAGCGCGCTCTATTGTGCAACTTCATTAATATTCATTACTGTCATCGTTTTTAGACGACAGAGACGCCACGTTGTGTTGGCAAAACAAGCGTGAAGTGTTGCTTTTATAGTTTGCTGCAGTTAAGTTTTGTTTTCATTTTCTCTCTGTGAGAGCGCAGCTGGAGTCACGCGTGGATTAACAGTGTACGCGACGCTCGACAACAATAACTTACGTGTCTAAGGAGGATTATTGTTTACCTGAGAGCTGTTCTCATCTGCAAACGCTGAGATCCGGATTCACTTGTAGTCTTCTCTTAATAAAGACGCAGCTCTAGTTGCTGGTAATTTTTGTCCTTTCTCTACAGATTTGGTAAGTGAGCGACCAGTGCTCTTTGTTTCTTCAGTTTGTTCGTATCGAACCAAGTTAACTATTGCACCGAGTGTAAACATGTTAGCACTACAACCAAATTTTAACCTCGTGTAGGATTTTCACAGCATTTTGTGACCAGAATAACACAAGCGGCTTTCTGACACTACCTGCCGAGTGCATCTAAGTTTCCAGGAAATTCTGAGGGTTTTTTTTCTCTCTTTTGCCGAGCGATTAATATCAAACATTGCATGAAAAATACACGCTTAGAGCAGCTTCTCGAATCAAATATCTCGTTTGTCGCGAGGGACATGAATGAATTCCCTGAATGAAAGAGCCAAACTGCAGTTAAAGTCTACCATTTAATAATTTGGCAAATAATTCGACTACAGATGTCCATGTAAACACAGTCACTTTGTCCCCTGTGTGTGTGTGTTTTGACTCTGAAAGTCAGCGCGTCCAAATAGACACTCCCACACCATGCCTCTTTTCTTCCTCCGACACTCCCCCCTAAACAGAGCTGGACACGCCCACTTTTCTGACTTTTTCCAAAGTAGAGGTGTGAAAACACCCTGCTGAAACGAGGGGGTTTCATGGCCCTTTAATGAACAAAACAAATCATTAAGCATTAAATGTGTTAGCAGACTTCACATTACCGGGTTCAGACATGGTCCAAGCGTCACATCTGAAGGAAGGGCTAGCGGTCGAGGGATCACCAACTCCAACCACATTAGCACCATAGACCCTAAACTGATACACTGAGCCAGCAGTCAGACCTCCAACCTTCAGAAAGAACATTTCATCTGAGCAATTACAGTATTATAACACCACACTATTTTATTAGAAACCCATTAACATTAGCTGATACAACAACAGCATGCACAGGATGCTGCAATACCAATACATGGCCACCTTGTGCAGTCTTTCCTTAACAGGCGGGATGTTGACCTCCTTCCACGTCTTCTTGGCCACGTTGCATTTGTCAATGTAATAATCGGTGACCTCTGCTCCTCCAGAATGGATGGGCTGCTTCCAGTTGAGCACCATGGATTCCCCGTCACAATACAGAAGAGAGATGTCATAAGGGGAAGAGGGCAACTCTGTGGAGAAGACAGATTGCTTCAGTTGGATGTAGCCATTACTCAATGTCTTCTACACGGGGCAACATGCAATGACGTGCAAGGCACATCTCTGGCTTATAATATGCACATTTCATAGGGAAATGTTGCGCCTGGAGGTGTAATATAATAGGATGAAATGCATCTTAATGTTGCACATAAATATAAGGCTCAAATTATAGCAATGCTTTCAGCAAGAGAATGTAGGACTCACAGTGAAAACAGAATGAGCTGCTTTCTGTCTACTGCCTACATAAACAGCTGCCTTCTGAAGAAGCAGTGTAAAGGAAATGGATACGCATTTAGAATATTGAACATGTAAGAGCTTTATTTTAGAATACTGGGTCACACTTTATTTTGATGGTCCGTTTGTTTAATTCAAGGTACATTGCATCTACATGACAACTAATTCTCATTAGATTAGACTGTTATGTTAGGGTTGGGGTTAGTGTAAGTTGACATGTACAGTACTTGCAAAGTTTCTTATAGTCAGTTAAATGTCTTTTTAGCAGCAGTATCAACAGATATTAAGCAGACAGTCTACGAATACTCAAACGGACTGTTAAAATTAAGATTATACTGCAGTTTTGCGAAAGGTGCTTCAAAAAAGTAATTATTTACATAATTAAAATTGTATTTAAATTACATTCTTAATTACAATATTGGAAAAAGTCACTTAGTTACTCAATAAATTATTTAATTACTTGAACACAAAACAATCAATGTATAAATGCACTACATATAAATGTTAGAGCCGCATAAACAATTGAAACCTTTATAATTATGACATGTGTGAATGAGACTTTGTGATTGCTTATGAACTGTTATTAATAGTCATTTGCTCAGTTGTGTCATATTAAATGCAAAGATGACATCACTTGTTATTACAACTTGACATAATACATCACAACCAGTCTTCATGTTTGTCATGTCAACTTGACATTACCAAGACACCATATCTTGTCATAAATATGTCATAAACATGACTGCTAAGAGGCCATTATAATAGTTCCATGAATATTTTTATGATCACTTTTGTAGTGGAGCAAACTGTATTTGCATTAAATGTATATATATTTTTTGTCAAAAATGATTTTAAAGAGATTCATTAATATTTCATGACATTAACAGCAAATTTAGCTTGTACTATAGTAGTTAAGGTCAAAAAACTATTAATGACACTGTTATAAAAATTATGACATTTATACTGACTTCATGACAATTATGTTTATGACAGATTTATGACAAGTTTTGTTGTATTGGTAATGTCAAGTTTACATAAAAACAAAAAACAGGTTGTGATGTATTTGTTAATGCCAAGCTGTCATAAAAACAATTTTAAAATTTTAAATGCCATAACTGATTAAATTACACCTATTGACATTTGTTATAAGCAAGCATAGAATCTCCTTCACATTTAAAATATTAAAATATTAGGCTGAATAATAAAATCTATTTCTAAATAAAATAAGTAACTTATTATTAGCTAGGAAAATATAAATAGCAGCAACACAGAAAAGTTCTTACAACATTTATGACAGGTTTTCATTAAAGTATTGGCTGCTAGACAATTTCATTCTTGCACGGCAGATGAATAAACATTTCTGTTTAGAAAAAACAATAAAAATAGATGTTGCCAAATTTCCCTTTGCAGACATAATTGGAAGTTGAAAATGATAATAAATTACAATATATATCAAAGAATAATGTAATAAATTAAAAAATTGAAATAACATTACATTGCCACTTAAATAGTATGATAATATCATATTGTGGGGTCATTCCCACCGCTAATATTTACTACCTTTTAAATGTTTTGGGTCAGTTAGAACATTTGATGGTTATATAAATTCTAAGTCTTAAAAGTTGAACTTTTCTTATCCACTTGTTGACTGTTGTGTATACACTCACCGGCCACTTTATTAGGTACACCTTACTAGTATTGGACCCCCTACTGCCATCAGAATTTCCTTAATCCTTCATGACAAAGATTCAACAAGGTACTGGAAATATTCCTCAGAGATTTTGGTCCACATTGACATGATAGCATCACACAGCTGCTGCACATCCATGATGCTCAGAGATGCTTTTCTGCATACTTCGGTTGTAATAAGGGGTTATTTGAGTTCCTGTTGCCTTTCTATCAGCTCAAACGAATCTTTCCATTCTCCTCTGACCTCTGTCATCAACAAGGCATTTGTGCATACAGAACTGCCACTTACTAGATATTTTGTCTTTTTCAGACCATTCTCTGTAAATCCTAGAGATGGTTGTGCATGAAAATCCCAGTAGATCAGCAGTTTCTGAAATACTCAGACCCTCCTGTCTGGCACCAACAACCACACCACGTTCAGAGTCAATTAAATCACCTTTCTTCCCCATTCTGATGCTCAGATTGAACTGCAGCAGATCGTCTTAACACAGTCTACATGCCTAAATGCATGGAGTTGCTGCCATGTAATTGGCTAATTAGAAATTTGCGTTAACAAGCAGTAAGACAGATGTACTTAATAAAGTGGCCGGTAAGTGTACATTGGAATTGTTTGACTTTTAAGCACTGTTGTTACTGTTATATAATTTATGCACTGTAAAAAATAAGTTGGTAAAACATTCAAGTTGTCTCAACTTAATTATTTTTGCAGATTTAAGTGGACTGAACATAAAACAATTAAGTTAGCCCCAAAAAAACCTCAAAAATTGTGTTAAGCTCATTTTAAATAAGTAGTTTAAACAAGCTGCAAAACTCTTTTATTGAGTGTACACCTTCCTCTATAAGCCATCTTGTGTTATAAGGTGTCACTACAGTAATTTATTGAGTTGACTTGAGAAATGCTTTCATCTAATAATTTCATTTTCATCACTGATTTAAATGCTTACTATATATCCCCCAGACAGGCCTGCCTTTTTTAGGTCTAAAAGTTTCATCTTTAGTTGTGTCCTTTGAAGTCTCCATATATGGAATTGTACTCCTGAGTCCAAACGCAGGATTGCTGTTCACTCAAGCTAAAGAGTTATAAAGCAATCAGCTCTGCAGATAATCCAGATCTGTAAAAAATTAATAGACTTCTGCTGCTGGAATAATTTACTTGTTGACTAAGAGTTCCATTGAGATGTGAAAAGAAAAACATTCTCACTCATCTGGTATAAATTATTAAACCAATTTAGCAAAGATTGAAGGGGATAAAATGATTTCTAAAACATCTCTGTCTACCAGGGGTATGACCATAAAACATATTCACACTGTGATGTTTATATGTCACAGTAACTTTTTAAAATCACACATACTGTGAAATGCATATCACAAGACAAAAAAGGATTCATAAACCACATCATTAATATAAAATAATACAAAATACACTTCCCACCAAAACATAAATCGTTGAGCAATGAAATGCATCATAGTGTTTATTGGAGCAATAAACCATATTGCAGAATCCTTGTGGTATAAGTTTACCATGTACTGTATTGAACTGCAAACAAAATTGTTGAATTTATAAAAGCAAATTAGTGAAAAAGTATCATTATATAACTGTTAGGTATCTGGTCCCTGCTCTTGCTCCCACCAACAGAGATCTCCACCACATTTTCTGAGAGGGTGCTCGCTGCAGAGCCATTTGAGCAGAGCTGAGCTCCAGCGAGGGGGAGCATGAGCTCTCGCTCTGCCTCCTAAGCTGTTTTAATGCGTACACCAACCCCACCCCTAACCCTACCCCCAGTGACATCACTCGTAGAAGAAGTGCAAAAAAGGTGGAGCTCAAGCTCAAGCTCCCCCTCTCTGGAGCTCAGCTCGGCCAAATGGCTCTGCAGCGAGCACCACTTGCATTTTCCTGATTGGACTCCATCTCCCATAAATCTCTCTGCCTAGCAACTAGAGACTAGTATAAGTGGTGTAAAGTAACATATTACAAATACTTAATTTGCTGTAACTGCATATTTTACCCATAAATTACTTTAGTAGATTAAGAAACATTTATTTACAGTTGAAACCAGAAGTTTCCACGCACTGTCATTGTTAAAAGTCAGATGTTAGAATTATCAAATTTGTTTCTGTTATGCTTAATAGTTATTTTTGAGAAACTGTTTTAATTTTCTTGAAAGTCTAGTTTACATGTAATACGATTATTATGCCTCTGAAAAAGCTCAGATGATGGTGTCAAGGTTTTGGAAGTTTCTGATTGGCTAGTTTACAAAATTTGAGTTAATTGGGGGCACAACTTAAGAATAGTATTTAAGGAAAACCTCAAACACACTGCTTCCTTGTGTGACAACATGGGAAAATCTAGAAGCCAGAATCAACAAAAAAGCCAGATTACAATTTGTTAAATTACACTGGATAAATAATATTTTTTTGGAGACATGTCCTGTGGTCTGATGTAACTAGGAAGATTGAACTGTTTGGCCATAATGATCAGTGTTACATATGGAGGACAAAGGGAAAGCTTACAAGCCAAGGAACACCATCCCAACTGTGAGGTATGGGGGCAGCAGCATCATGTTGTGAGGCTGTTTTGCTGCAGGAGGGACTGGGTTAATTCAATGCATAGAGGGCATCATAAAGAAAGAACATTAGGTAGAAATACTAAAGGAACATTTCAAGACATCAGCCAGGAAATTAAAACTTGGCCACAAATGGGTCTTCCAAACAGACCATGACCCTAAGCATACTGCCAAATTAGTTCAACTGTGCTTTAAGGACAACAGAGTGAATGTTTTAAAGTGGCCATCACAAAGCCCTGATCTCAATCCTATAGAAAATGTGTGGACAGAGTTGAAAAAGCTTGTGTGAGCAAGACAGCCAACAAATCTAACTCGGTTACATCAATTCTGTCAGGAGGAAAGAGCAAAAAATCCTTCAAACTATTGTGAGAAGCTTGTGGAAGGATACCCAAAACATTTGACCAAAGTTATACAGTTTAAAAGTAAAGCTAAAAAAATACCAAGGAAATGTAAACTTTTGACTGTCTAGAAATTAATAAAAAATTCTTCTTCAAAAAAAAAACAAATTCTCTCATGATTCTGGCATTTGGCAAATGTAAATTATTTAGGTAATCCTAACGAACCTAAAATAGTAAACGTTTAGTATGATTTACCATCAGACATTTAAAAAAATATATTGTTCCTTTTTTTGAGTGTACGTAAACTTCTGGTTTCAACTGTATGTTTTTAGTCCATTTTTAGATCTGTATGGGTTATTTTACTGCACTGTTACACCTCATTCACACTAACAGCGACTTTGTAGCTGCCTGTCGCTCTGGGTGTCGACATTCTGCAAAAGCAGGTCTGTGTAGGTATATACAACACAAATACATCCGCCCTCTGAGCCTCTAAAGTTGAAGGATTCTCATGTTTGTCAAGTCGCTCGACTTGCCCACCTGGTCGCTGTCGCACGTGTTGACTGAGTTCACTAGTAGTTGCTCAATCTACATTGAAATGACCAGTCGCTTGTCGCTTTTCTGCTGCAAGTCGCTTGTAGTGTGAATGAGACTTTATACTCTACCAAAGCTCATTATGATTATGTACCTCCACATACATTTCTGGAGAGTGCCAAAAACGTCCCTGGAGTTACGATTTTTTGCAGTTTTTGTTTTCGCAAATCCACCAGAGGCCGCTGTCGACTGACTGACTGACCAACTGCAATGCCTAATACATGCCTTAATGCATTGAGTTGCAGCCAGGCGATTGGGTGATTAGAAATTTGCATTAACAAGCAGGTGTACCTAATAAAGTGGCCGGTGAGTGTATACAGAAATCGCAGTTGTGATCTTAAAAACTAAAAACAGCCCACTTTTTTGTACCTTATATGATGTTTGAAAACAAATAACATCCATTAGTCGTGTTTTACATGCATCATCCATAGTCATCATAACACATCGTCTGGTTCATGGTTTATTTCTTTAATAAAAAAAAAATAAAAAAATTACTTGCTGATGTCTTTTTCCACTCAACTGTGCTGTATACTAAAGAAATGTTTGACGTGCCAAATTAATCTTTTCTGTTGTTATTGCGTAGGAACTCTCCAAAGCGCTTTCTATGAATGAAGATAAATAGAGACATTTTACAACCTGATGTAAAGTCATTAAAAAGGAATCTGGTGGGAAATTTCTGTCGGGTACCTTGTTTTGTCATTACGCTATACTTCCTGTTCAAAAGCAGCTTCTGAGTGTGTTTAGCAAAAGGAAAAATGTATCGAATAAACAGTTGATGGAATATCAAAAGAGACTGTGTTTGGTGAGACTACTTACTAAGAGCAGCTCTCACAGAAAGAGGGGCTGATTCCTGGGATTCGTCACTGAGGCCCAGCTCGTTGATGGCTTGTACGCGGAAAACATACGACTCACCGGTGGTCAGGCCATGCACAACAAACCTGTGTGAACCCAATAATGAGGTAGTGAAAGAGGAAATTGATGTTCCTTAATTTATCCTTTACAGAGAATAATATCCACAAAAGAAACATGTCAGCAACACAAAATCCTAAAGAAAGCTTTCCGATTTCCCATCAAGAGATACATGCTATGAAAGCAACATACTTTCTAGTTTGTCGATATACTGCCTATGGGTACCTGCAGCGTCTTCATAGTGGTATAATATGTTTGACAAGTTTTGCTTCAATATCTCATCCCTGGGACTGAGCAATGACCTACTTTAAATAGATTCATGAGATATAGCATGTTTCCCAGAACTTTGTACATCTAAGAAGAGCAAAAATAATATTTTTCAAGTCAGAGTCTGTTCATTGCTATTACAGTTTAGTTCAATTACTTTAAAAATGTTCATCAATAATAAAAATAAAATCAGAGCTGCTTGATAGGTGAATCTGGAGTAGGTGATAGTGTCATCAACCAGCAAAATACAGTTCATGTGTTCCTCTCATAGCAAAGTGATGATACACGGGCAACTTTTACAGCAATGTCGCCCTGTTCACTCGACAGTTCTTTTTAATTTATATGAATTTAATTTAATATTTTTATTTTATTATTTTATTATATTATGTATGTATTTATGTATTTATTTATTTAATTTAATTTATTTAAATTTATTTTTTTAATTTAATTTTTTTATATTTAAATTAACTTAATTTAATTTAAAAAAATTATTTAATTTAATTTAATTTAGGCAGTTCATTCCGCTGTGGCGACCCCAGAATAATAAAGGGACTAAGCCGACAAGAAAATGAATGAATGAATGAATGAATGAATTTAATTTAATTTAATTTAATTTAATTTAATTTAATTTAATTTAATTTAATTTAATTTAATTTAATTTAATTTAATTTAATTTAATTTAATTTAATTTAATTTAATTTAATTTAATTTAATTTAATTTAATTTAATTTAATTTAATTTAATTTAATTTAATTTCTTATTTTATTTTATAATGTATTTATTTAATGTATTTATTTTTGTTTTACTTATTTTATTTATTTTATTTAATTTTGTTTTGTTTTTATATCCAATTTAACTTAATTTAATTTGAAAAGATAATTTAATTTAATTTAATTTAATTTATAGATTTATTTATTTATTTATTTATTTATTTTATTTGTTTTTATTTTATTCCACACAATTCCTTCTTGTTGTCCCAACACAAATCGATAAACTTAACTCATTTGATTGAACATAAATTTGTTTTAAACCCACTTAAATTTGCTAAAACGAGTTTTCCCCAAAAAAAATTGAGAATTGTGTATTCTCATATAACTAAATACAAAACTCGTTTTAACTAAGTAGTCTGAACAAGCAGCTAAAGTAATTTTTTGAATGCATTGTGTACTTATATACCTTGTGTGCTTATGGGGCTTGTGATTAGCCGATGCCCAGTCCTTAGAACCTTTGACACAAGAATCGATGTAATATCCAATCAGGTTATTGGGATCCTTCGGAGGAGCCCACTGGATTAGAACAGAGGTGTCTGTTTCCCTGGTTGCGACGACTTGTCCGGGAGCCGAGGGCACACCTGAATGAACAAAGAACTTCATTTCAAGGCTGATTTCACCAACCAGCCCAATCAATTTCTTGATGACCTATCATGCATGAATTAGTTCCACTACAGAAAGGCATATAAAATTCATTACTGCCTTAATAACAACATCAAAGTCACAGCCTGACCAAAGCTTCAAAGATGTATATGCAATTTTATATGCAGAAGATTCACCATTTCAATAGCTTAACTGAATATATCGGAAGAGTGGTGGCCTTTGACATGCATTTTTTACCCTTTAGTTGCAAGGTAGTTATAGTGCTGGTGGGCTCCGAGGGTTCACTGATGCCATATATATTAGCAGACAGAACACGGAAGAGATAGTCCTTTCCTTCAGACAGGTCGAAGACAGCATAGCGAGGGGATCTGATGGGCACTTTAGTGTTCACTCTCTGCCAAGATCCTGCTCCGACCTGAAGCTGTATGATAGCAGAGCCAGCAAAACACAATATTGAGCATTGAGAGGACCATGCTTTTGGCAACCACGAGCATTAAGGAAAGATTACAAATTATCTTTCATGTCCAGTGTTGTTAAAAATTTATTTGGAAATCATTGATTTTCATGTTTAAATTATATACATAGACACAATTCTAGTGTTTTTGGCTCTATACACCAACATAATTTATTTGAAATGAACAAGATGTGCTTTAACTGCAGACTGACAGCTTTTATTCAAGGGTATTTACATCCAAATCAGGTGAACTCTGTAGGATTTACAACAGTTTGCATATGTGCCTCCCACTTGTTAAGGGTCCAAAAGCAATTGGACAATTGGCTTCAAAAATCTGTTCCATGAGCAGGTGTGTTATTCTCTCATTATCCCAATTATAACTCTCAAGATGAGATCTAAAGAGCTGTCACTATCAGTCAAGCAAGCCATCATTAGGCTGAAAAACAAAACGAACCCATCTGAGAGATGGCAAAAACTATAGGCATGGCCAAAACAACTGTTTGGAACATTTTGTTAAAAAGAATGAATGCACCAGTGAGCTCAACATCACCAAAAGACCCTGATGACCACAGAAACAACTGTGGTGGATGAACAAATAATTATTTCCCTGGTGAAAACACTCTTCACAACAGTTGGCCAGATCAAGACCACTCTCAAGGAGGTAAGTGTATGTGTGCCAGAGTCAACAATCAAGAGAAGGCTACACCAGGGTGAATACAGAGGGTTTACCACAAGATAAACACCACTTGTGAGCCTCAAAAACAGTAAGGCCGGATTACAGTTCTAAAAAGCCTTTACAGTGCTGGAACAAACATCCTATGGACAGATGAGATCAAGATTAACTTGTAACAAAGTGATGGGAAGAGTATGGAGAAAGAAAGGAACTGCTCATGATCCTAAGCAGTGAAGCATGGTGGAAGTAGCTACATGGCTAGGGCATTTATGGCTGTCAATGGAACTGGTTATCTTGTATTTATTGATGATGTGACTGCTGACAAAAGCAGCAAGATTAATTTAGAAGTGTTTCAGGTAATATTTTCTATTATTATTATTGTTATTATATATATATATATATATATATATATATATATATATATATATATATATTAGGGATGTAACGGTATCAGAATTTCACGGTACGGTAATACCTCGATATGAATGTCACGGTACGGTATTTATTGAATCATTTCCAAGAAAAAACAAAACTTATGAAAATACTCCAAAAAAGTGCCAAAAGTGTCAATGACATACAAATTAGTCATCTATCTGTAAGCTTTGAAACAGGAACTTCAATTTTAATAACAAAAAAATATTAAACCATGTAAAAAAAATAAAGTTTTTAATTTAGTAGTGTTGAAAACTCATCACATTCAACATTTAATCACTCACTCACTTAGATAGAGATGGGTTTAAAGGAAAATTATCATATAAATATAATCTGGTAAAAGCTGGTATCTCTGGGCATTTACAATGTCCCCTGCAACAGAAAAAAAAAACCTCTCATTTGGGACGGAGGTTTCTGGGACAAGAGAGATATGACTTGGCCCAGGTTGACAGCAGTGGGTAACGTTGTGCATTGTCTTTCCCCCACTTGAGAGGACAAACCATGAGTAAGATAGAGATCTCATGTCTGCATCAATCTGAACAGTGTGCTGACAACACCGCTATTCAGTACGCGCGACAACACAGCTGATAAGAACTCGCGCGACAACACAGCTGATAAGAACTCGCACGACAACAACGCATTTCAGTACACGCGCGGCGACAACACCCGCTTTAGAGTTTTACAGCTCTTTTTCATCCCCTCTTCTAGCAGCACACTCCATTTCCGCATTACTGGATCTGTAGCGACAACAGACCGCAAGGGATGATGGTCAAGCATGGGCTGATGGGAATTGTAGTTTTCGCTACCTCCCGTTCGCTTCATTCGCCTAAGCAAATTTTCTCAGAAGACCTATAGTTTTACAGAGTCATGCGACTTCGGTAATATCGAAAAAAAATTAATATTGCGGTATGACGGTATTTACAATACCGTTACATCCCTAATATATATATATATATATATATATATATATATATATATATATATATATTATTAACCAAATACTTCAGAACTCATTGGAAAGTGCTTTACAGTGCAGATGGAGAATTACCCAAAGCATACTGCAAAAGCAACCAAACAGTTTTTGAAGGGAAATAGGTGGATTGTTATTCAATGGCCAAGTCAATCACCTGACCATAATCCGATTGAGCATGCGTTTCACTTGCTAAAGACAAAACTGAAGAGAAAATCTCCCAAGAACAAACAGGAACTGAAGACAGTTGTAGTAGAGGCCTGGCAGAGCACAACCAGGAATGAAACCCAGCGACTGGTGATGTCTATGCTCTCCAGAATTCAGGCTGTAATTGACTGCATAGGATTTGCAACCAAGTATTAAAAAGTAAAAGTTTGAATTATAATTATTATTCTGTCCAATTGCTTTTGGGACCTTAACAAGTGAGAGGCACATTTGCAAACTGTTGTAATGCATAAAGCAGGGGTCACCAATCTCGGTCCTGGAGGGCCGGTGTCCCTGCAGGGTTTAGCTCCAACTTGCCTCAACACACCTGCCTGGATGTTTTAAGTATACCTAGGAAGACCTTGATTAGCTTGTTCAGGTGTGTTTGATTAGGGTTGGAGCTAAAATCTGCAGAACACCGGCCCTCCAGGAACAAGTTTGGTGACCACTGACATAAAGTGTTCACCTGATTTGGATGTAAATACCCTCAAATTAAAGATGACAGTCTGCAGTTAAAGCACATCTTGTTTGTTAGTTTTAAATCGATTATGTTGGTGTATAGAGCCAAAAATGTTGAAATTGTGTCAATGTGCAAATATTTATGGACCTAACTGTATATATATATATATATATATATATATATATATATATATCCTGTTTAAATAGTCAAAATTATTAGCCCAATTGTGATCTTTTCTATAATATGTTTTTTCTTCTGGAGAAAGTCCCGGCTAGAATAAAAGCAGTTTTAGACAGAAACAGACCAAACCATCATTATACAATGACTTGCCTATTTATCCTAACTTGTCAAGTTAACCTATTCAACCTAGTAAAGCCTTTAAATTGCACATTATTGCTGAATATTAGTATCTTGAAAAGATGTTAAAAATAAAATAAAATAATGTTCCGTCATCATGGAAAAGATAAAAGAAAACGGTTATTAAAACAAAAAATAAACAGGAGGACTAATAATTTTGACTTAAACTATATGTGGTATCTGTGTTGTGTACTTGTATGTGGTAATGTATTTTGAGGTCAGAGACAAATTTTCAGGGTGGATAATAACGCAAGTAAAGCAATAGGGAGATTTCAGGAGTTACTGGAAATATTGTAAGATAAATTTAATATGGGAAAGAAAAACAAGATTTTTTTTCAGCCACAAATGCTCCCAGGCACTAATTTGATTTAACAGAGCAAAGGACTGGTGATGGATTTGCCACAGTCCCAATATCATCAATCACAAATCCCACTAAGCACTCAAACATTTTTTTTTCTTATTTTCATGTATCTTGGCTTTTACTGTATTTTACCATTTTTATAATTAAAAAAAATATATAAGACAGGTGATAACTGTGATTAAATAAGAGATCAATCCGAAGGAAAATGAATGAAGGATAACTGTGAAAACTCAATTAAATTTAACACTTAAGTTTAACAAGGACATATTAACCCATGTGTATTGTTCAATTCGACAACCCTTTCATTATGTTGGTGGCTGTTTTTGCCCCATTGACTTTCATTATAATGACATTATTTCATCACAAAGTCATGTCCCCATTATCATACATTCTTGATTGCTTGTGGTTTTCCTTGTTGGGGTAAAATGAGGTAAAATGTGTCATTTTAACTGTTGATCATTAGTTGGAAGCATTAACCCTTTAGATAAGCCTGTGCAAAAACGTTTCTGGCTTGTATATGGAGCATAAAAACAAATTATAGTAAATTATAGCAATATAATTTTCTTGTCGGCTTAGTCCCTTTATTAATCCAGGTTCGCCACAGTGGAATGAACCACCAACTTATCCAGCACATTTTAAATCACACTTTTGCCATTGTGTGGCAACAGTGTGTGAATATAACCAGCCTCTAATAGTAAAAATTCTTTAATTCTATTTTTAATCACATCTCATTTGTAGAAACAATTTGATTGGCATTCTCCTTTTGTCCAAAGCCCATTCATTAGTGATAATCTGTCCCTCATTGGCATTAACAGCCCTGAGTGAGAAGCAGCCATCCGTCATTAGAGTTTTGAATCTCTATGGATGCCCTTCCGGCCGCAACCCATCTCTGGGAAACATCCACACACACACACACACACACACACACATTCATACACTACAGACAATTTAGCCTACCCAATTCACTTGTACCGCATGCTGTGGGGGAAACCGGAGCACTCGAAGGAAACCCACGCAAACGCAGGGAAAACATGCAAACGCCAACTAATCTGAGGTTCGAACCAGCGACCCAGCAACCTTCTTGCTGTGAGGCGACAGCACTACCTACTGCGCCACTGCTTTCCCGTGTCCTTACATACATACACTTAAATGTTCTGAGAGCTTATTTTGATTTTCTAACACATATCAAGATAAGTGTCTCTCTCACACACTATCACACACTCACTCAAAGAGACACTCCATATAACTACATACAAAAGTCAGAAACAGAGCTTTTTTGCACTGCAAATGGTGATCAAATGTAAAAATGACAAATGTTCCACCTTCCCAATAGGGAAAACCACCAACAATTAAGAATGCATAATCATATAAAGCTTTGCAATCAAAAATGGGGCAAAAACAGCAAATACCATAACAAAAGTGTAGTAAATTTGCCCAGAGTGTGTTGTAGAGTTTTGTTTTGTTTTTTTATTCCAAACATTTTCCAGAATTATGTGTCAAAATAAGATTTGTCACCAAAAATCATTCCATTTGCTAAAACACAAAGTTCTGACCAAATTAAGACTCAAAATCACCTCAGAATGGATGAAAAACAAAAAGCATACAAGGGTTAAGATGAAGGGTTAAAATAAAGTGTAACCACCCTACAGTATTCCCAAGGGTTGCATCGTCTGACACAAAACAAAGACTGCTTTTGAAATATTCTTCATAGATCTTAGCTTCTCGGTGACGTCAGAAGAGAAGTGCTGAAATAAAAGTTTGTGACTATTCGGCTGGGTTAGTGTCTGGCAGTGAGCTGAAACTAACCTTCTCAATGTAATACCACATGGGGGCTTTGCTATGGTAGACTGGAGAGACCCAACTGAGCACAACATATGTTCGGTCGGTCTCTGAAGCGCAGACTTTAGAGGGAGGTCCTGGAGCTTTTCCCTCAGCTGCAGGCAAAGCACATCAAACAGAATTACTGTTCTACCCTGAACACATAGACACACACCAGTACACACACTCGGAAATATCCCACTATTTTTGCAGTCGTTTTAAAAGCAACTTTAATATAAATGGACTGATATATGAATATCTTTTTTTGCTGCTGCTGCTGCTTCTGAGATATAAAGTATATAGAATACACATGCATAAATGCATACATACATCTATTTTTAAAGGGGGCCTATTAAATTACTTTTATTAGTGGTTACAATCACACTTTTGCCATTTTGTGGCAACAGTGTGTGAATATAACCAGCCTCTAATGGTAAAAACTCTTTAATTCTATTTCTAATCACATTTCATTTGTAGAAACAATTTGATTGGCATCCTCCCTTTGTCCAAAGTCCATTCATTACTGATAATCTGTCCCTCATTGGCATAAACAGCCCTGAGTGAGAAGCAGACATCCGTCATTAGAGTTTTTAATCTTTATGGGGACGCATAGGCATTTATGGCTCTGCCTAGGGCTGTAACGGTAACAGATTTATTGTTTCAGCGGTGATAAAGCAAGAAATTAAGCCGTATGTCGCTTAAAAATTATATATATATATATATATATATATATATATATATATATA